AAATATGTAAAAGTTTACGAACGAAGCACGACCCACGAAAGGTGATCGGCTAAGATGACCAACAATCAACACGTTTTACATATCCAAAGTCTTTATATGTACACCTTATGTCGATAGCTCATGGTAACAATCAATTATTTTCTTTATGTTAGGTTTGCAGGTACACTCTCCACTAGTCTGTCTACCTGTACTAAACTCATTAAGAATGTTTCATTTAAATATCATCGATGACGTAACTTTATGTAAACAGATTCTTTTTGTATGGCTTTGTTGTTCGGCGTCTGGAATGTTTTGTAGTAGAAACTATTTTGTTGGTATAATTTGGCATGTATAATGTTCACGTTGAATGAGAAGAAAAAAATAAACTAACAGGGATAGAAAAGGATCTCACAGTTTATATGAAATGTTATCAACCTGAGCTCCTTAAAATCCGTATTTTTTGCACCAAACGTGACTCATGTCTTCCTCTGTTTACAAAATCAATACGAAGTTGGGTGGGTCAAAAAGGAATCTTGTACATGTCTTCAATCAATCCAGATATTAAAACACCATTCTCATTCTTATGCATAGACATGAATCAATTATCTGTTTAGATATATTCTGCTGTGCATCTTTTCATTGTATAAGCCGTCAATGACAACGAATTTAGTTTGAATGAAGTATTGTTGTTATTATATACAGCACCGTAACCTCAATATGCTTCACAAGCTATAGATATTATGGCTATTTTTTCAACAATCTTAACAGAAAATAACTCCATGTACAGCAGAAATAAGTCTTTGTCCTTAGTATTCGTTAAACGATGGCTAATCTTTTCGCTAGATAAACGCACATATCGATCATATCGGACTATAGAATAGTTTATATCACAAATTCAAAGAGAATTTCTCAGCTAAACTCAATTCATGCAATGCAGTCAAAAGAGTGTGCATTAAAATGTAATATATGGTAGTCGGATATACATGATCAATAGAACGATTTTTTTTATAAATTATATATGTAATGTTTGACATTCAACTTAACAAAGCATTTCTGTTTCCCCCCTTTTTAACGTCTCTTGCGTAGTTCGTATAATATCTACTCTCATTGTACATCAATGCATTCATGCTTTATCCCAGGTCCCGCCTCGTCCACGGGACTTAGTCCTTTAATCATATCGTGAAATATCTATATATTTGTATGACAATCGGTAGGGTTGAAAATGTTAGACGCATTCATGAAAACAGCATTAGTCAAGGGATATGACCCCATTGCTAGGCACCCCAGCAGGTCGGTGATCGAGAAAAAATACACATGTAGTTACCCACTGCATGTACCGTAAGAGGCAACACATGAGGGAATTACCTGCAGAATTCGGGATTTACCTTTGTGCCCCCATTGCAATACTTAATCTTTCTCTTTATTTCTTTTTTTTCCTTTCGTAACGCCGAAATTTGCAATACCTTACATTTGGCTTTAATGTTGAGCGTTCGCCCAGATGAGAAGGGCAATGGGTTCTGTCACCAGGCCGGAACCTACCAAAGTCCTTAAATATTGTAAGTATTACCCTGTTTAACGTTCAGCATAATGGGTAATGACAACAACTGGCTAACCTGATATTACATCATCCGCGCTATCTAAAGGAGACAAGTACAACAAACATACCCTGTCTCAGGCACACATACACACATGTACGCTTACACAACACACATGGAGACACGTCTAGAAATGAGCTGAGCTGTTTATATTTGAAGTTCATATGACAGAATACATCAGACAAAGTTTTGAAACCATGAAATGATGACCTCTTGTACTAGGAAGCTTATATAGCTACATGTAATCCAAGAATAGTTTTAATCTGTGAGAAGGACCACTGGGTAATATGGACATAGTCTTTATAGTTCTACATTCGTGAGATAACTAGCTGTGCAGTGTTAGTTTACTAAAAATGTTTGCCGTAAGCAGGAATTCGCAGATACATTGTACCAAAGGAACAACAATGAAATTGTCGCAAACGTTACATGTTTTAAGTCTTGTCTAGAAGGACAAGCAGGTAGATGGGTGCTGTATTTAACGATTCATTCCTGTACAAAATTAAAACAATATATTTGGCACGAAAACCGAAACCTAAATAGATAAAATGATGCTTACCTTTGATTTTTGCCTTTTTTGTTTTGTGACTACGTCGAATGTTCACTATTTGTCACAATAGACCATACCCAGATGTGCGCCACGGCATAACAGATACAGAAACGCATATGCGTAGGTACACACACAGTGTATAAACAGGCGACAAATGTTTAAATACTCTATATAATGATCTGGCATCACGCTCATACTTTGCCACACGATACTAAGGCGGTCTCTGTATACACTTGCCCACTCTGGTTCCATACTAATTGGCCGGTTTATACACAGCCTGCTTTAAAATGATACATATGTAAATGCTATAATTTGTTCATTTAGACATAGTATCAATGTCAATAAATTAACTATACAAAATTAATTTACTTCACTTTCACTAATGATACGAAAACAAAAATTGAATCATTCAATTTTTTACCGAGATATGATATATATATAGTAGACGAAGTCAGGACAGCAGTTGTCTTAGAGACCACGTAGTGAGTACAGCGATTGTGTTAGAGAATACGTTGTCAGTATAGTGATTGTCTTAGAGACGACATTTTTGGTTCGACATTTGTCTGAGAGACGACGTAGTCGTATGGTTTGGTTAAAATTTGTTTTACGTATTATTAACAGCGAAGGTCATTTAAGGATGTGTCTTCATGTATGCTGTGTATGCGTGCATGTGTGTATGTGCGCTGGAAGCAGGTTATATTTGTGTAATCGCCTCCTTGAAAAAGCGCGCATCTGATGCCGACTGTATAGTGCTTTCTCACTGAAAAACCATTCCGAAGATTCTTAACAGCCCGACAGACTAACAGTGATTAGGTTGTTTAGAATTGTAGAGAGATATATTGTTTCAAAGACTGATTTGAGATTTGTTATAGTATTATGCTATCAATATATCACAAGATCAATTTCATGGCAATTGATTGGTTTACTGCCCCTGTTCGTTTTGTGCATGAAAAAAATATGATCAGACAATGTTAACTCCGAGAATAGAGACGATATGAAAGCGAGTTACCTACAAAAGTGATAAATTTTCTTGCAAAATTATCTTTGAAAAGAGATATGTTGATATATATTGAAAGAATTGCGACATATTCATAGACGTTATCACCATGTCGGCATATTTTAAGAATTATGTCGGCACACAAATGTTGATGGCAGATATAAGTCTGTTTAAGGATACCTGTAGCACTGACAAAATGTAACCATACATTGGACACTCTATCATTGGCATGACTGTAATTTCAAACGCATTTATGTAAAGATAAACATTCCTTATTGGGATTCATGGGAAATCAAAAAGATGCATTAAACGAAACAGTGTTCTGAGTGTAAAGAGACAAAAATGAGAGACAAGAATTCGAACCCTGGACATCAAAGCATTATACCGTCGCTCTAACCAACACTTGAGCTACGGTTGTAACAAAAAACATAGAGGAGGATTACCGTTTGTACGAAATGCTACAACGGATTTCTATTGTGTTTTACGTACAAAAGCATAGGGAACCTTTAAGTATTGAATGGACATACTTAGCGCAAACATTAAAATGTCCCGTTGTACACTATAAGATATCTAAGCGTTTTAATAATGTGGCAAAAACTCTTAGTATTATGTAAATAACTGCTATGCATATGGTCTTTTGAACGGTGCTTTAAATAGGTTGTACATTTGTAAGACGTATACGCAAGGTGCGATTCAGCGTATATAGGTCACGTGTTGGTAGATAGTATGGGCATATTTAAACCCACAGTTAGAAATTATGAAATTGTAAACTATGACGCATCCTGGTTCTTTGACATATGATATTAAACGTTGTGAGGAATTGTGTATTTTCCGAATTACACAATACGATAAACATATGAGCGAATAGGCTCTAAGGGCTCTTCGTGTGATGATATTGCATTCATTTTCTCCCTTTCTTTCAATTATTGATTTTGGTTTTGTTTTTGTTTTTAACGTTCTATTTACAGCTAAGGTCATTTTAGGACGTGCCTTCATTTGTGTTGTGTATACGTGCAGATGTGTATGTGTGCTGGAAGCATGGTATGTTGTTGTATTCGCTTTCTTGTGATAGCGGGGAACTGATGCCGACTTTAGAGTGCTGCGTCACTGAAATACCATGCCAAAGGCACCCATCACAGTTTGGTTTGGTTTGGGTTAGAGTATTGTCTTATCAACAGCTATGGTCATTTAAGGACGGCCTCCCCTGTGTGCAAGATGCATGCGTGTAGTGTATGAGTGTGTGTTTTGGGAGGCTGCGATATGTTCGTGCTTGTCTTCTTATGATAGCGCGGAACTAATGCCGACTTTATAGTGCTACCTCACTGGAACATACTGCCGAAGATACCCAGCAAGGAGAGCCCACCCGGTCACATTTTACTGACAATGGGCAAACCAGTCGTCCCACTCCTAAAATGCTGAGCGTAAAGCAGGAGTAGAAACTACCATTTTTACAGACTCTGGTATGTCTCGGCCAAAATACAGAGCCCAAAGCCTTTCGCACAGGCGTGAACGCTCAACTAAAGGCCAAAAGTGAGGGATTGTCAAGGGCGACATTAGGAAGAAGAAAGTTGCAGGGACAACCCAGCACAGTATTCCGTCCGGTCACATTATAGTTACAATGGAGCAACGTTTAAAAGATTACATATTTCCATATGCAGTTTTATCGAACTAAACGTATTTGCTGTTACCAGGAAATGCAGATTATTTTAACACGAAAAAACAACATCTATCACATTGTTGCAAAACGTACCATGATTTTAGATTGTAAAGAATGACAAACACGTAGATGGGTGCTGTTTATAACGATTCGTACTTGTACAAAAATAAAAACAAAATATTTGACATGGTGACCTATTACCTGAATAGATAAGACGATGCTTACCTTTATTTTCTGCCTCTTCTGTTTTTCTTGACGCAACACAACTATTGCGAATCTCCACTTACTTCACTATTCGTAACAACACAACACCCTTACATAGTACACCACGGTTAGTGTCACGGCAAAACAGACACAGACATGCTACACATACGGTATATGCACAGGCGACTAAAGTTTAAATAGTCTTCACTATGATCTGGATTCCCGGTAATCATTCAAGGTTACGCTATCATTTGTTCGATTCTTTTTTTTCTTTTTTTCTGTTTTTTTAAAATCATCTTTCAGTATGGCCCCATTGAAATTTATTTCGTACACATAACAAAAACCCTTTATGTGCAACGTTTCACGCTGATATGTGCAAGAACATTGGAACACGCACAGGTTTACCAAGGCCGTTGAGTTTTGTTTGCATTAGCATGTCGTAAAAGAAACACATAATATGTAAGACGTAAATTACCGGTAGATGTCACAATAGAACGTCAAACGCATGACTATTTATAAATACGCTTGCAGTGTTCGGTTACAGCTTGACAGACCTAAGGTCGATAATTAAGCAGATGCTATCATATTTTAAAACTATCACAAACAAGTTGAAGCAACATAATAAGATGACAACGTACATGTCTATTATATATGTAACATTATGTTTCCCTTAATTGCCTTTGCTGACATGTTGAATGTTGTCCATCATATTTTGATGTTCGAGTTTTTGAAAGGTTGTTAATCATTTAAAGTAATGGTTTGTTTTGTCCAGATGTCGAAAAGCTAAAATATATCCTTAATATAAAAAAATAGTTTACAAGCGTCTTTCAAATTCTACAATTTTTAAAATTGTGTTGGAACATTTAAGGTAGAGATATGGGGATCTCAATATGGCAAGTCGAATGTGGGATAACTTCATAATATTCCTCAGGTTGTTGATATAGCCCCATCGCAATTTCCGTTAATTGTTGTCCTCTTACTCTGTTAATTAAGTTATACAACCTATATAATGTAATATAGAGTGTCAGAAAAACAATTGTACGACCGGCGAGATAAGCAGCGGTATTTCAGACACACACATTTTCAACTGGGTGAGACATCGTGACGTAACAGGGAGTAAGTACAGTAGTTGTAGGAAAGACGTAAGGGTTAGCCTAATATTTGCCTACAAAAACGATGTTGTCAGTATAGTGGTTGTCAGAGATATACGTTGTCAGTACAGCGTTTGTCTGAGAGACGACGTATTCAGTACAGAGTTTGTCAGAGAGACTACTAGTATGCGGTCAGTACAACGGTTGTCTAAGCAACGATTTAGTCTTTGCAGCGGTTGTCTGAGAAACGACGTTGTCAGTGCAGCGTTTGTCTGAGAGACGACGCTGTCAGTACAGCGGTTTTATGAGAGCTAAACGGGTCAGTAAATGGTTACATGCAAGTCGAGTGTGTTGGATACCGGATATCGTCAAAAAAGTTTTTCCTTGTAAGGGTATTATAAACGTCTATCTAACAAAACGTCCTCGTGGCTCATTCCATACCCGCAAATGTTTTCATGTGTTTACATGTGATAATTTAATAATTAATTAGTCTTGATTAAGAACTGAAGATAGTGCATCTTTAAATTTAGTAAATGCCAATTATCTTATCCGTCCATAACGCATTGTTAAGCTTACAATTACAAGCTGAATGCCGAGACATTTAAACTTCACCTTTGTCCAGAGAGACAATTATGTATCACAGCACGCTATTTTTTGAAACTGTTATGCCACATGCTTCCTTAGAAATTTGTTATGTGATTTATATAAGAAATTTATATTATGTACGCGTATTTCATGTTTAAAAGTATTGTTACCGATATGAATTGTGTGTTCATCGCAAATACAAATATGTATGCCATTTAAAAAAAATCATTAGTATATCCATGGCTAGAACCGTCATGCACAAAAAGTAAGTTACCTTCTTCTGTAACTCATAAAGCACATGTGTACCTAATTTGGAGGCAATCACATGTTGGGAGGGCAATGTGTCGCGACCTGAAACTAAATCACTGTTACCTCAATCTGACATTTGACCTGGACCTCATATACTAAAACTATGGTTTTCAGAGCATATTTCAGCGGCTGCTTAATCAATGTGCATCAATCATGGTCTATAGACACTTCATCACAAGTGTGTGTTACATCCTTAATCAAGTTATCTTTGACCTCGATAGGACCTTTGACCTTGACCTCAAGTACTAGAAGTATTATTCAGGTTCATGCAGCATATCTCATCCACTGTTTCATGAAATACGGGGGGAGTGGGAATATCCGTGTAGCCCTGTCTTCGAGTTAAATCTAGTATTTTTTGTTTTTCACCTTATTCAATTTATGCATGTAGTATTATCCATGATGTTGAGAAATTTTAATTATGTAAGGTAGGTTATTGCAATAAGTAGCTAGTTCTGTGATAGGTGTTTGGAAAAATATCCTTTAATAATCCTACAGAGCCGTTTAAATAATTGGTTACATTTTGTTATATCGTATCATGTACTTTATCAACAACCAATCATGTATTTCATTCATATACCTGTGTATATGCTGATAAATTAACATTTTACAAGTAAGACCAACGAACTTGAATATGTTTGGATAGGGTATATTCCACTCCTGCACAAGACAAGGCCTGATTTAGTCTTAAGCTTTGATTATTACATTGCCTAGAATCTAACATTTCATACTCAATCTTTAAAACTAAATCAACGCACGTATGTGTGCAGTTTCTATCATATCCTTGAAAATAGAGTGATCGCGTTACTGTAAGCATTGTTTTCCTCAGGAGACCTACCTAACGACTTATAATATTTAGCAAAGACGTAATCGCAAATGACATGCTGAAGATACTATCGAGTGTTTTACTTTTTAGATATGTTATTAATATTTTTTCGGAATCGTATCTGTGCTCGACTTTACCTGTCGTCGATCAACCCGGAGCATGTCTAGTAGCTCCTTCAAAAGCATACCTTTTATCAACGTAATTACCCCTGTGTCAAAATTAAGGATATCTGTCAAACTCCATCGCTCTGGTTTTGTTTTGATTGAATAGTCCACAACTGATGATATTTCGTCCAGCTGATTCGAGAGCTTGAACGTTCCTATCTATTTTTGTCTCTTGCTAACATGAGTTCTTGTTTTCTTTGGTTTAAACTTTGTCCTTCGCCACCCTATTGATTTTACCTAGCTAAAACTTACAAAAACTCGCTTTGACTTAAAACGCAAGTCGTACTCCTACCATGTTTGAGTTCCTCTAGTGTCCCTGTTTTTCTACCTTAACGATGAAGTACACCCCCATCAAAAAGACCATAGCATGGATGGTGCATCCTGTTAAAATACCATTTTAGAGTGCCTAGCATAATGTCATTATCGTTCTTACTGTGAGCCAGATAATGGCGTTGCTTTGTAAGTGTCTTTTTTCGATTTCCAAGATGTGTTACGAGGTGTGGTATGTTTCAGCGCAATGAAGATACTTTTGTGCTGGTAAGACCCGTCTGCATCCAAACCAATGCTAAATCTGCCTGGTTGATCTTGGCGTCCCGAATGTGTTTAATGAACCGATGGAATCCAGGCACCCCTACTTTTAGCACCGAAACTGATGTAAGCATTCGATGTCATGTTCGTCGTCGCCGTCCTGTAGGTATAGCGAGAAATATATTTCCTTGTGTAAGGTTAAGGGTGACTTCTTTTTCTTAAATACATAGTCTACCCAAACCACATCTTATTGTAGGTATGGCGAAACATATATTTCCTGTAGTAGAATTTAGGAAACCTTCTTTTTATTCCTTCTAACTGTGTTATTGGTTTTATCTTACCATGAAATCCTCCAGAGCCGCCATAAATGTTTAAAATGGAAAGTTTATTGGCAAACCTTTAACTTCTATTACTTACGAGGGAGGGTCATTCAATAAACACACAGCTCCCATACGATATTAAAATGCACCTTGGCAGATTTCAAAAGCATTTAAAGCACAAGTTATTCATTGTTTAGTGGTATGTATCCGTGATACATGTAATTGGCTACTTTAGAATGCTAACATGAAGGGTGAGTCTCAATCTGAAAAACGCTCCTATACTAAATACATTGTGCTTTAGAGATATCGCCAAAACAGAAAGACCAGTGATTGCAAGACGTATAAAGCACAAAGAAAGTTTTATAGGCCATTTTTTCAGTTAGTGATTGGATTCTTAACGGCCCATCTACACAACAAAAAGTACTTAGGGCCAATTCAAAGTAACCTGAACCTATTTAACGAAATGACATCTAACGAAATACAGGTAAAAGACAAAGGTAAACTTGAAAAGCAAAAGAGATTATTATTAGTTGTATCTTTTTTAACAGACACACAGGTGTAAGGTAGGTTAGAATTGTAGATATGCTGACTGTTTCAAAAAGAGATTTGAGTTCTGTTAAAAAAAACCTGTTGTCTGCCGGATATCAATAAAATCTAATAACAAGTGTTTTACTGTAAATTGTTCTTTATATTAAATGCATTGAGGCTGGTCTTCGTTTTCAATATATAAATATGGGTTATGTATGAATGACCAATTCGAGGACTGACAAGGGTAACCCTGCCGCGGCGGTTTTCTTTATAGCTTGGATATCAGTTACCGATTTTAGGTACATGTATTACAAAGTGTATTTTGTTGTCTACGCATTGATTCAAATTATATTTTACGTATCATACTTTTCGTATCAGCAACCCAGTCAATATGGGATACTAGCTTTAACATGTACAGTGCCTTAATGCATTTTGCCTTAATGCATTTGTTATGAGGAAGGAATGATAGTTTTCTATGGAATATAACGCCTAAGAGTTTAGTTTGTTCTACTACAGGAATAGGTTGGCCGTAAAAGGGTGAGATTTGGATCGTCATGAGGTTTACGTAATTGACACAAATGCATGCACACCGGTTTTGATTTGGAAAATTCAAAACCTTTATAGTTTATTTAACGATTTAAAGATTGTCGTAATTGTTTTCGATCTTATTCATATGTTTTGAACGGTAGCATGTATGAAAGTCATCCAGGTACACGTTCAACTGATTATTTTGACAATATTATTTATTTACTAGGTTGCCTGTATTTCAGATACCGTGCAAGAGAATGAAAACTATATCTGTTTTTACAAAAACAAAGTACAGGAGCCTGT